TGGCCGTGACTACAAAAAGTGGGAGAGGTAGAGTTGTTAATTGCTAGTACCTCAAACCAAAGAAGACATGTGGGTGATGATGTGTTGGTGCAAGATCATGATGAGCCAAGCAATGATGTTCAAGCTAATGAAGAAACGAGGATTGATATTGACGAAAATGTGGAGGAGACGTAAGAAGAAGTGAACCCGTCTAGGGAGCACGTGATTGACATGCCGGAGCAGGTAGTGCCAAAGGCTAAGGCACCAATGCCAAGGCCTACTACTCCATACCCTCAAAGACTTGCAAAGTAACACAATGAGAATCAATTCAAGAAATTCATTGATATGATGAAAAGTTTGTCCATAAATGTGTCGTTGGTTGAAGCCTTAGAACAAATGCCTGGATATGGAAAGTTCATGAAAGATTTGGTAACAAAGAAGAGATCAATGAACTATGAAATGATCAAAATGACACATCAAGTGAGTGCTATTTTGCACTCCATGGCTCCAAAGTTGGAAGACCCCGGTGCTTTCACAATCCCGTGCACTATTGGGCGTGCCGATTTCGCCAAAGCTTTATGTGACTTGGGGGCAAGCATTAACTTGATGCCATATTATGTGTTCAAAACGTTGGGGATTTAGCAACCAAGACCCACATCCATGAGGTTGCAAATGGCGGATCGAACAATGAAAATGTCATTGGGGATAATTGATGATGTGTTAGTTCGGGTCGACAAGTTCATCCTTCCCGCAGATTTTGTGATACTTGACTGTGAGGCTGACTATGAGGTGCCAATCATTTTGGGGAGACCTTTCCTTGCTACAGGGAAGGCCTTAGTTGATGTGGAAGCTGGCGAGCTCACCTTCCGGGTAGGCGATAAAAAAGTGGTCTTCCATGTTTGTAAGTCAACGAGGCACCCAAATAGCAACGAAGTGTGTTCGTTCGTGGATCTTGTGACCGAAGTAATTGTTGATGACACAAATGTTGTGATAAATGTTGAAGATACCTTGGAAGCTGTGTTGTTGAATCATGACGAGGATGAGAAGGAAGGCTTTGTAGATTGTGTCAATGCTTTACAAGAAATGGGATCATATACTTATGAGCCCCGAAAACTTTCCTTAGATATCGAAAACCGGAAGACTCCACCAACAAAGCCCTCAATCGAGGAGCCTCCCACCTTGGAGTTAAAACCTTTGCCTTCACACCTCAGGTATGAGTTTCTAGGCCCTTGTTCCATTTTACATGTTATTATTTCCTCGTGCTCAACTAACTTGCAGATAGATTCCACCCTTGCGATGCTCCAAAGGAGGAAGAAAGCAATAGGTTGGACATTGGCGGATATTCGGGGTATAAGCCCCATCTTTTGCATGCACAAAATCATTTTGGATGAGGATGCCAAACCCTATGTGGAACATCAAAGACAATTGAACGAGTCCATGCAAGAGGTAGTAAAGAAAGAGATCATCAAGTGGTTGGATGCCGGGGTTGTTTACCCCATTTCCAATAGTTCGTGGACCTCGCTGGTGCAATGTGTCCCAAAGAAATGGGGCATGACTATGATAACAAATGACAAAAATGAATTGATCCCCATAAGAACTGTCACCGGGTGGATAATGTGCATGGATTATAAGAAGCTCAACAAAGTTACTCGGAAAGACCATTTTCTGCTTCCATTTCTGATCAAATATTGGATATGTTAGCCGGACGTGCTTATTATTGCTTCCTTGATGGATATTCCGGGTATAACCATATTCTTATTGCTCCTGAAGACCAAGAGAAGACCACTTTCACTTGTCCCTATGGCATTTTCGCATTCTCGCGAATTCCATTCGGATTATGCAATGCACCAACAACTTTTCACCGGTGCATGATGGCCATCTTCACCGATATGGTGGAGGGCTTTCTTGAGGTTTTCATGGATGATTTTTCTGTCGTGGGGAATTCTTTTAAAGAGTTCTTGGATAACTGGGATAAGGTATTGGCACGTTGTGAGGAAACTAACTTGGTGTTGAATTGGGAGAAGTGTCACTTTATGGTCGAGGAGGGCATTGTCCCCGGTCACAAGATTTCCAAGAATGGTATTAAGGTCTATAAAGCAAAAATTGAAGTGATATCCAAACTCCCTCCCTCTACTTCCGTAAAGGGAGTGAGGAGCTTTCTAGGTCATGCGGGGTTTTACCGCTGATTCATCAAGGACTTTTCTAAGGTGGTAAACCCCTTGTGCAAACTCTTGGAGAAAGATGCCAAGTTTCTTTTTAATGAATATTGTATGAAGGCATTTGACCTACTCAAGCATAAGTTGACTACCACCCATATTATCACCGCGCCAAACTTGAGCTCACTATTTGAGCTCATGTGTGATACAAGCGATGTGGCAGTTGGAGCGGTATTGGGGCAACGAATTAACAAGATCTTTCATCCGGTCTACTATGCTAGCAAGACCATGAACGAGGCCCAAGGCAACTATACGGTGACCGAGAAAGAACTCCTAGCCATTGTCTTTGCTATGGAGAAGTTCTGCCCGTACGTAATGGTTACAAAGGTGATTGTTCACACCGACCATGCGGCACTTCGTTATTTGATGAGCAAGAAAGACTCTAAGGCAAGGTTGATGCAGTGAGTGCTTCTATTGCAAGAGTTTGATCTAGAGATTCAAGACCGAAAGGGTATTGAGAATCAAGTGGCGGATCACTTGTCCCTATTGGAGGAGGAGAGGCCACATGATGTCCTTGAGATCAATGATTCATTTCCTGACGAACAACTCCTTTCCATTTCTATGACTGGGATGCCATGGTTTGCCGATGTGGCCAACTATCTTGTTAGTGGCATTGTTCCGAATGAGCTCTCTTCAAACCAAAGGAAGAAGCTCAAACGGGACTGCCTAGACTACTATTGGGATGAGCCATATCTCTTCAAAATTTGTACTGATGATGTTATGCGAAGATGTGTACCAGAAGAAGAACAATTGGGTATTCTTGAAGCATGCCACTCTTCGCTATATAGTGGTCACCATGGTGGAGCGAGAACTGCTACAAAGGTGCTAAGCTGTGGATTCTATTGGCCTTCCCTTTACAAGAATGCTAGCGACCTCGTTAAGCATTGTGATGAATGCCAAAGGGCCGGTGGGATCTCCAAGAAAAATGAGATGCCTCTCACCACCATCCTAGAGATTGATATTTTTGATGTTTGGGGCATAGATTTTATGGGCCCGTTTGTGAGCTCATGTGGGAACACCTATATATTGGTAGCTGTGGATTACATGTCCAAATGGGTTGAAGTTGTGGCTTTACCCAACAATGAAGCTCGAAGTGTGGTAGCTTTCTTGAAGAAGAACATATTCACAAAGTTTGGTACTCCAATGGGCATTAGTGATGGGGGATCACACTTTTGCAACAAAGTTTTTGATACTTTACTCTCCAAGTATGGTGTCACTCACAAAATGTCGACCCCCTATCACCCTCAAGGAAGTGGACAGGTTGAAGTCTCCAACCGGGAGATCAAGAGTATTCTGTCCAAGACTGTGAATGCCAACCTGATAGATTGGTCGAAGAAACTTGACGATGCTCTTTGGGCTTATAGAACAGCTTACAAAATACCAATTGGTATGTTTCTGTATCGTTTAGTGTTCAGGAAAGCTTGTCACCTTCCGGTGGAACTTGAGCATAAGGCTATATGGACGTTGAAGAAGCTTAACCTTGAGTGAGATGTAGCTGCAAATCTTAGGGTGGAGCAATTGAATGAACTTGATGAGTTTCGGTTCCATGCATACTCCAGTTCGTCCTTGTATAAGGACAAGATGAAGTACCTCCATGACAAGTATATCTGGAACAAAGAATTCAAAGAAGATGATCTTGTGCTTTTGTTCAACTATCGGTTGCGGATGTTTCCGGGAAAGCTGAAATCAAAGTGGAGTGGCCCATTTGAAGTTGTACATGTGACACCCTTTGGTGCTCTAGATTTGAAAAATAAGAATGATGAGGTGTTTAGAGTCAACGGGCACCGATTTAAATATTATCTTGGCAAGGTTGATGATGGCCACGTTGTGGCGTTGCTCCAGTTCAAGTGATTGATGGTAACATGCATCGTGCCGCGACGTTAAATCAGGCGCTTCTTGGGAGGCAACCCATGTGTCTTTTTCTTTTTTCTTGTTTTTCTTCTTTAAATTAGATAGGCTTTGTTTTGTACTAACTAGTTTTGAAGTGTATGCAGGAATGTGTGTGTATTGTAGGAACTGACCATGAAAAATTTGACTAAGTGTCACAAAAGTGCGGACCGCACTAGAATTATGCAGACTGCATTGCCACTTTGTGGCCGCACAATTTTGTGTGCGGTCGCACAACTGGGAGATGAAAAATACATGGTCTCTAAAGTTTGGCCTGACAAAAATCCTTAACAAAATGCGGCCGCACCCATTTTTGTGCGGTCTGCACTAATTCTGCGGCCGCACTCATTGTTGTGCGGTCTACAGCAATTCTTCACAAGGGTAGGTAGTGAGTGTGGTCCGCACTCAAAAATTGTGCGGCCGCATTCCAGGTAAAATTGTGGAACCGGCGGGTAAAAGTATAAATAGGGCCTCCCTCAGCTTTTTACACTTTACGCTCTTTTGAAACCTGAAGCTAAGCTAGCACAATGCATATCCTCATTGTTTTCAATCTCTCCTCATTTCATCAGTGTTTAATCTCACCTGCATCTTCATTACTGGTATGTTAATTTATTCTTTAGATTTTCCTTAATTTTATTCTTTTGACTAGGGTTATTTCCATTCCTAAATATGTCAATGGTGAGTTGTTTGTGCTTATGTGGGTAGCCTTTTTAAACGTTAATTGGGGTCTGGGGTAAGTGACTAATGATGGTTAATTGCTAAAAACTTGAGTAATGTGTGAATAAAATTCCATAAATTCTAAGTTAGTACCGCCTGAATTCAAATTGTGCGGCCGCACTCACTTTTGTGTGGTCCTCACCATTAGCTTCTGCGGCTGCACTCACCTTTGTAAGGTCCGCAATTCTCTGAACTAGGGTATCAGTGTGCATGATTTGTGCGGCCGTACTCAAAATTGTGTGGTGCGTCGGTGCAGTTGAAAGCATGAGTAGCATTGGCACAATGGCAAGCAAAGGCTGCGGAATCTGGGTTGGATCCACATCTTCCACCTGACCTGCCGCACTGCTCGCATGGCGAATCGATATTTGCCATCCAATTAACTGAAAACCCGCCAGAAATGGCTGATTTCAGAACTTCAACAGTTGCTGTAGCGCTGGCTAATGCCACAGCACTCGTTTGATTGATCCTAGTTATTATTTCTTTCTCGCATCTCACTATAGAGAAGTCGAAGGATACGCCAATCATAGTGTATATACCAAATATATTGCTAGGGCAACTGAACATATTCGGACGCCGAGTAGGTATTTGCGGACCAGAGAAGGTGCAGCCATAATACAGAGTAATATTCTGGTCACTGGAAACATAGCTGAAAATGTTTAAATCCAAGGAGGCGTTCTCAGGGTTGTTCAAACAAATATTGCTCAGTAAATCATCTCTAGCCAAGGTTAGTATTCGAGTAGGAGTATCGATCCCTACCACTTTATATGACGTTGATTCAATAGCAATATTCGGGATGTTACTCTCGCAGTTGATCTCGAAACTTGGATGACCACAGTAATCTGGTCTACCACCTCCCCAGAAAGGGTAATTTATTTCGATGTCACCACAGAGAATTGGCTCACTACACTTGCTGAATCGCTCGTCATCTTGACAGAAAGATATGGGCATATGAAGAAGGCCTAGAATGATAAACTGGATAATAGTTGAGTGTAGATTTGACCACATCGTTTTAGAGGAGGCTCTGTTCAAATCTTTTTTCTTCTTTTCTGTCTTAAAACTTGCTATTCCACCTCGCCAAATGAAGACAGCGGATGTTCTGCTTCCACCTTGACTACGCTGCTTTCACTCGACTTTTTCCATATTAAGAGAACTGTTAGGAAGATTCCTCCGTAACCCCAAGTCAATGCATGCACCATTAAGTCTTGGCACCCAGAAAAAATGACTTGTTTTACTTTTCTGAACATGAAGTCAAATCGTGTTTTTTATGACGAGAACATTATTTTCCACGGCATAAAAGAAAATTTTCTCACTCATTTTCTGTATTCACTTGGATGTACGTTCTTAATCGTAGTAAACGCTGCGCTCGAGGCTGACAATGGTAATTGGTGATATAGGCAAGAATGGCCGCGAGTAAGTTGTTTTCTCCTATTTGATGAAGATTTAGATAACAACTCTACACTTTAAACAACCAAAACCATAACACGATTTTGCTGAAGGGAACATTTTTCTTGAAAATTAAATTATGCGACAAATTATAAGTACCAAATATATTCTCTCCAGCTTTCTTACTCTACGACTCATTCAAAAATTTAGATGGTCACCAAAAGAGATAAGATTAGCTTGTCCAAACTTCTAACAAATTTTCCACGCGCATTGAACCGTCGCCGGCTCCACCGCTCTCCTCCTATGATTGTGATTCATTAGACTATAGGCAATAATGAAGATAGAGGTGGAACAAAATGAACTACTTTCACACCTGTTCTTTTTCAACTTTTAAGGTAAACTTAGGCAAACATAATTACCAGGGGCAGGAGCTAAAATGCTTATAGTTGGAAACTTAATCAATGACCAATTTTTAAAGGATGTCCAGCAACACACTAAAAATATTCCAAGCTATGTTTCTATAGAATATATTTTCTTATTCTTTTATATCATAAACCTTTTTAATTATAATGTTAATACCATAGGAGAGTCCTCGGATATGACAGAAAAGTGGCATTGGTGGATAGTCAGGACCATGAGCAAATTCCGACCTCAATACAATACAGCTAAAGGAGAAAAGAAAGAAAAATAAGACGCGGCTAATTTTGAGACAATTCCAACGACAGTAGCTAAAAAGCCACAGCTAATATTTGAGAGAGTTCAGAGGAGACTTTGTGATGAAATTATGGAACGAGTATCCATAGCCAACAGTTACACACTGGTGATGATGCATCCAGGAGTTTCTGCCACTACAGTTGCACATCTTGCATAGCCTTTTGCAAATATACAAGTATGGAAGCTCATAAGAGTATAAAACTACAAGCTTTTCATGTCAAAATGTCACATTTGATTATACATGGGAAAAAGGGATGCATTACTTACCTTATTTTTCCGTCACCACTTCATCTCTTGATGACACAGATAACTCAACCATTTACAGCTACAATTACACTCACAGAGACTGCAGTTAGAGGCTCATCCCTTGTTGCATAAACAGGCACATGTTACCTTCTTGGGCGGGTTACTGATGATTAATTAAAGGTATTTTCCCTGTGTATTTAAGGAATTACCACACTAATCCCTTTCTTCTCCTGAACCTGTCAACACGATCTGTGCTCATCCGAGACTTCTCGGGTTTGTTTGACTTCTTAGTCTTTTCAAGTCGACTGTCCAAACTGTTCCTTGAAATTTCGGGAGGATCAGTTTTCAGGTCAAATGTGTCTGTGGCGCAACTTTCGGCAGGTTTACTCTGGTTGTCAGACTCTGTTGATGCTTTTTGGGAGCCAGTAGGGGCAGGCTTTGGTTTGCCAAGACCAATAACAAATTTCTTTAGATGTTTGATGTACTCCGGGTAAAGTTCAAGATTGCAATGCCCACCTCCATTTATCCACAAAGGTTCATATTTTTCCTTGCATAGCTCCCACAGCTGTTTTCCATGGGAGCAATCAACAACTTCATCCGCTGTTCCCTATACATGTAAATGTTAAAATCCCTTGAGTAAAAGGTTCAAAGTGATGGGAAGCTTGGGAAAACTACTAAAAGGTTATGTTCAAATGAAACCTATTGGAAAAGTTGATTTGATTCTATCCTTGATGCAAGTCACTCTAGGATCAGATTCTATCCTTGATGCAGAACGAAACCTTGTGGAAAAGTTGATTTGATATGCTGGGAATGCATTATTACCCTATAAAAGTCTTTCATTAGATTAGGTTTGCCAGAAAAATAGTTCCATCAACTGTAGGCTAGATTCATCAGCTGATCCTTTCGGTCAACAGAAATTAAGAACCTATTGGATTGTGAAAAGTACACCCTGGCAACTTATCGACATGATCAGTGTTAGCTGAAGTTGAAGTACATCCACCCCCCCCCCCAAA